TGTCCAGAAATATCTATTTGCCGTATTTGCATTCATATTTGTATTAGAGTTTAAAAGACCAGCTTTGCCCCAAGACAAGGAGACCTTTAGGAGCTGATCTTGGGCATGTTTAGGTTTTGACCTATAGGTGCTTCTTCATCATGTAAAATCTAAAGCTTGTCCAACAGGTGGCCACTTGGTACTGTCCCTTGACAGAGTCGCTGCTTAGATCTTAGGCATTTTCAGTATTAAGATTATTTTGTTATGCTTAAAGAAGTAGCTATGTACTTTTCTTTAAAGTAAGACTTGCGATGCTTTTTTTTTTTTTATATTCGTGGTCTTTATTCCTTGGTTAACATTTTCCATAAAGCTCTTTTAAAAGTATTTTGGAGGTCACTGCAGCAGAGTCTTCAAACTCCACAGGCCTCTATCAGGTTCAGGTGGGGGGAAAGGAAGGACCAATATTATCAGTGTTTGTGCAACAAACCCATACCTTGACTCTACAAAAGCAGCCATTTAGAAAGGTATGCTCGATGTAACTAGAACATATTTTTTTCTTACTGAGACTAGCCCTGTCTTCTGAAGCTCCCACTGGGGCAGCAGCGATCATTACAGGTTGTTTTCTTGCAAGGCTTCATATACTCCGAAGGAAGAACAGCAGTTTTCTGGAATAAGAAATTTTAACTCAGTGGATTTGGTTCCTCTTGAATTTGTGGCCATAAAAATTATAGAGGAAAAACTCAAAAATCCTTTTAAGAGCTAGCAGACCGATGTTGTGAAGACAAGAATTAGCTAAAATACACAACAGCCCACTTCAAAATTAGCAATGAAGTTCCCACGCCTTAGCTGGCCGGCATCTGCTGCCATTCCAGCAAAAGTTATCTTTATTTACAGTGATTCTTCTTACCGTGGACTTCATATTTCTTTCCAAAACAGAAAACCAATGTAAGACTCGACAAGATAAGCAAAATAACTAATAGCTACATTTCACAGGAGGTTACTGGCAGTAGCTGTAAATTTAAAGTGGAAAAAAAAGGGACATAAAGCCAATGTTCATGTTAAACATCCAGTGTGACTCCTAGGAATGAAACAGGGGGGAAGAACACTGAGACCAAGAGATGATATCCAAAATCAGGTCACTTTGTTTCTATTTACTTTGACCACTTCTCCTTTCTAATTTACTGGCAATGGTCGTAGAGCACAGAATACGTTTGCACCAGTGAAGAGCACGGTGTTAACAGGTACCATACATTAAAACAAATTGCCTTCTCCCAGGACCTCAGATGCTTCAGTGTGGGAACACCAGGTCTTTGAACAAACTTCAGACAGGAGGCGTATCCCAACAGCAGGCAATTCGTGACCGTCCCTCCCCACTGCCTTTACTTGAGTAAATGCCCGGCACCTCACTCCGAGGGCAGGCCTGAAGAGCACCCACACCACCCTCCCAGGTGGGGCTTTGCTGAACATGTTCATAGTTGGTCCAAATGACACTGTTTTGGCAGATGTTTTCAGCCATTTTCCATGCCTTCCAGATTACAGGCAGTCAACTCAATCAAAATCGACCGATCAGTCAGGAACAAAAATTGTTTGAAGGTTTCCTACCAGCTCCGACCCCGGCTTCTGCCTGACCTGGAACAGGGGTGCAGAGTCCGTGCAGAGCAATGATTTTGTAACCTGGTGGGACCCTGCTGAAAGGATATCGTGGGTGAGAGCTGGAACAATGCCCTCCCCCGCCCGTGCACGGAATCACAAGACTTTCAGCTGAAGGACATCCACATGAACACCAATGAAGTGCTCACCCCATCGCCGCCGGGCCATGAGGGGTTTGCCCTCACCAGCGCGTGGAGCGCCGGGCGCTGGAAGGTGTGAGCGCAGCCGCATCGTCGCGCTTTTATGCCTGTGTGCCCCTGTGGGAGTAATACGTGGTGGATGACGTGGCCCCGAGCAGTGATGAAGTACTCTGTGTGCTCGCAATTTCTCTCTTCTGCTGCCCCCTTGCCCCGGGACAGCCTTGGGCCCCGCAGCGCTGCAGCCTCCCTGAGCAGGACCTGCCGTATGAGCACCTCAGCCCATGGCACAGCGACATGGATCTCCTAAAGCCAGCATAAGTTGAGACTGGCATCTCAGCTGGGCTTTACCTGCAGTGCTCTGAGGTCTTTGGAGGTGTCTCAGTCACAAAATAGCGTTGATTTTTGTAGTGACTCCGAGCTGCGAACTTGTAACGAATGGCAGCAGGTTTACCAGCTGAAGCACAGTTTTGCAGCAGGATTCCAGGCCAACAAAATAAAAAAGTCAAACTACTCATGCAAAAGGCAGATCCCTAATTTAACTTTTTTTTTCTAATTAAGAGATTCAAAACAAATTTTTAAAAAAGTAGCCATGAGTTGGCATCACCCATGTAATTGGTGAACTTTACTACGACCTCAGAAACAAGGATCGTGAAAGAATGAACTGGGCACTTCAAGCCTAATCCAAGCTTCCACAGTGCTAGAAGAGCTTTCGAGCAGCCATACTTCGCTGTCCTTCCCAGAAGGCTGCTGCCCTTCCAGGTAGCCACACGCAAAAGGCGATGCCCAAGCTGAGCAGAGAGAGCTACGAGGAAGGAGCGGCGCGGCGAGGGCGGGAGCGACGCCGGAGCAATGCGCCGACTCACCGGCTTTACCCGACCGACTGGGAGCGCGCGCCTGCCAGATGCTCTGCACCGCTGGAAACGCACATTGCTGCTCTCTCGGCTCAGAGGGAAGAGCTGGGTTTTGGAGGAGGAGAGCGTGAAGCCTGTTCCCGTTACTGCAGGGAAGCTGAAAGCCCGTTACGTGCAGCACGATGCCAGCCATGCACTTTCTAGGCAGCCAGAGCTGTATTACAGCTGCACAGGGAAAGCCTTCTGGGGCGCGCAGCTAGGGTCTGTGACTACAAGAGACATTTAAACCATCAATGCCCAAGGTCACTGACCCCGCTGTCAGACAGTAATGTATGGTATACATACAGTCCCCTTGGCTGTCACCTGGCAGCGCAAGCTCAGCTGAACCCTACATTTTAAGATGCTTCATATTCAGATCTGCCACATTCCAGCAGATAAAGCAGAAGCATCTCTGAAGCACTACTTAACTTGAAAGCCACACTCAACAACCGCGCAGCAAGACGATCTTCAGCTTTAATGTATTTCAGTGCAGAAAATGAAAATGTGGGTTATAAAAACAATTCACTCGTGAAGCATCCGTACTTATAGGAAGTGAAATACAACCATTTGTGCCCAATGTCCTACCATCTGTGCCAAGCCTATTGATAAACCTTCCCTGACAGGATGAAATACTGCTCCTGGAAAGGCATCCTTAACATAATGCGCCTCTACAGCACGGGGCTGGCCTAGGTTTGAAAAACAGCCTTTTATAATACACAGATGAATTTAGTGCTTAAGAAGATTAATGGATTCATAAATAGCCTGGAAATCCAAACTCATTGAATTTAGTTCACGGAACAGGTCAAATAGGCATTTATCAAACCATCTGGCATTTCTTCCCTGGGGAAAAAACTGTAGTCGAGCTACGGATAGCTGAGGAGCCATCATCGCAGCAGGGAGGGTTCGGTTTTCCCTGCACTCAGCTTTCCTCTAGAAATCGCCGGTGCTAATGAGAAAGCAGTAGATCCTTTCGGACAGAGTGCTGCAAGCCCAGAGCAGGCTGCCCTGAGGCACGTGTCTCGAAGCCGCTGGAGATGCTGCTTTTTTGCTGGGAAAACATGGAGGCATAAAAGCAGCGTCCCTGTTCCATGCAGCTGCTGCTCCGGTAGCTCAGGAGCACAGAGTCGTTTTGCACGTGAGCTGATGTTGGCTTTCTCCAGAGCTGTTTACCCTGCGAGCCATGGGTCCATCCGTGGGGCTGTTCACAGAGGTGCTGGGCTGCCCGTGCTGCTAGAGGCCAAGGGCATTAACCCTGGCCCATGGCTGGCCTGACCCAGCCGGTGCGGACAGACCCGACCCAAGGCACCGTCGCTGAAGCGTTGAGCCCTTTTTGAAAAAGTTTCTTTCTTTCCCTGGTTATCCCAGACAATCACAGATGTAAGAGGGCACAGGAGCTGCTGAAAAAAGGTCTTTGTCCATGAACTGGTACATTACCCGTCACTTTTCAGCTGTTCCATGCCCCAAGACCATCCTCAAGCTGGCCTGTCCTTAGCATAACTTTTTGGGCACTCACTGGCGCTTGACAGGGGGAAGGGGCAGAGGCCAGCACAGCCCCCCTTAGTTGGTTTTAGCCAGCGTGTTGCCCATACTGAACCAGCACCTTAGCAAAGCGTGAGCCAGGGCAGCTCCTCCTCTGCCGCTGCTGCTCCAGCACCCATGGGGACAGAGCCGGGGCAGGGCTGGAGTTCACATTTGTGTCGAATTGCTCATGAAAAAGCAGGGGTTGGGGGAAAACAAAAAGAGCGTTTAGGAAAATGTTTGAAAGGGTTTTTTTAATTCATTTCCATTTTTATTCCTATTTCATGACATTTTAGCAGCAATCAAGGATTGTATATGTTGTATCATTTCATATAAACATGTACATCGTAGCATGATAAGCCATGTATAATAATTTAATGTAGTTAAAATATCACAGAAGTGTTTTTCTATATAGTCACTTATTTTTTTAAAGCATTGCTACTTAACACAAATGTAAGCACAGTCATGTTCTAAGTCAAAGTGTCTATTCTTTATGCTGCGATAAATAGCTTGCCAGTTGCTCTAGACCATAAAAAGGACATTCATCTGCACCCATTTGAGTAGCCTGCAAAAAACTCGCTAGAGTAATTCAAGGATCTCGAAAAGAATATGCGTTTTGAGCAGTTAATTTATTTCTGTGAGCAAAACACCAAATTATTTTATTAATGTGCTCTGATACATAAAACATGATAATTCTTTCCGGTCATATTAGCAGCTTGCTTTGAAGATTTCAAAGATAAAACACGTAAGATGCCATATAAAAGGGAACAATGGCATACTTGGTTAGTATGGCATAATATGACACGCTGTGTAGTACACATTAGCGGTGGAAATATAAGATATTTAGTAGGGCCTGGTTGCATTTGTCATGACCATGTTCTGCCCCTGCTGTCATGCCATGACATAACCTACAACTAAAGACAATATATTCCTTGAAACAACATATTCATTGAAAAATAAAACCACATTGAAACAACGTTAACAAGTAAGCTGCTAAGCTTAAATAGCCTTGCCTCAGAGAAGAATGTTTTGACAAACGTGTGTCCGCCTGGTTCTCCCGCACCCACACCAGGATAGCAGGGGGACAAAGGATCAAAATCCTGTCCGTGGTCATGGCCAAAACACTGCGCCCGTCCCAGACCCACCTGGGGCAGGCACCCTCCCCAGATGCTGTTCTCCTCTTCACAAGGGCTCATGCTGCATCCATGGATGCTGCCCAGGGCAGCCCTGATCCCCCCACACATGCTGGTGGAAATCAGGAATAGCTCGCCAGCCTTCAGCAGCACCCACCGTGGGTGTGGGTGTCTGTCGGGATAGGAAGAGAGGGTCTGGTTTTGCTGCCTTGTCTCGCTCTCATAAAGTCGATGGTTGGGTCAGCTGGGGTTGGCCCAAGGGAATAAACAGCACCACACCATCATCCGTACAGACCCCTCTTCCCTTGGCTCCCAGCAGGGGACATCACATGTCTCTAAGCGAAACTCAACCTTATTGCTATACTTTTCATTGCTTATCTTCCACACAGCTCTGCGAGCGTCCAGGAGGCTCTGAGACCCCACAGGGCAGGTTTCTCACCCAGAGTGGGACCCAGCCTTGAACCAGATCCAACCAACCTGCCCAGGAGAGTTTGGAGCCAGATATGTATCCAAGGCCTGCAAGCAAACTTTTCCCTAATGACTGGGTAGGTCCAGGGACTAAATGCTTAAGCAGGACCCATACTCCAGGCAGCCCTTGGACTATTTGATCTGCAAAACAACCACTGTAAAAAGTGCTGGGAGGTAAAAAGAGGAGGCAGCTTCAATACTGTCTACCCCCACCCCAGAAGAAACCTCATCAGTCAGACCATCCAGCTGTGTGGTGTTACCGAAGACTTCAGTGGTGTTTGCCACCTCTTCGGGAAGGCCCATCTGGAGCAGGAGTTTAGAGATAAGGCTGTTGAACTTGCTCTCCGTGGTAGACCAAGGCTCTTCGCTTGGGGTCGGGCCTTCGGACGTGACATTTAGCTCCACAGGGTCAAGACAGTAACCTTCTGGTGACCTCTCGTAGAGCACGTCCATCAGATCAATTCCAGCTACTGAGGAGGGGGAGGCACAGGGAATATCCCTCACGAGCCTGTAGTTCTCCATCCACTCCTTCAGCCACTCGATGCGGCAGTCGCACTCCCAGGGGTTGCGGAAGAGGTACAGCCGCCCCAGGAAGTACACCGGCTGGAAGACAGAAAAGGGCAGTGTCGTCAGGTTGTTGCTGTTCAAGTGCAACGCGACCAGGCTGGTGAGGTTTTCAAAAGCCCCTTCCTCAATGTAGTTGATCCTGTTGCGGTCCAGGTAGAGGACCTCCAGCTCCCCCAGGTCCCTGAACCAGGTGTTGGAAACATTCCTGAGGAAATTTCCCCCCAGGTTGAGCATCTTCAGGCACCTCAGGCCATCGAAGGAGTTTTCTGGAAGCTCGCTGATCAAATTGTCGTTCAGGTACAGGTACTCCATCTTCTGGCAACCCTGAAAAGCTCTCTCATGAACAACATTTATCCTGTTGTCCTGCAGATTCAGGTATTTCAGCTTGGTCAGGCCCTGCAGGGAGTTATAGGCTACCGCTTCAATCCTGTTTCTCTCCAGGTAAACATGGGTCAGGTTCTCCATGCCCCTGATGGCACCTGGGATCCTCCGAAAGTTGTTCTGGAAGCAGAAGAGCTGCTGCAGAGCAGGCAGCTCGATGAAGATCCTGTCTGGGATGTTGAAAAGGTTGCAATCTGCCAGGTCCAGCTTGACCAGCCGTCTGAGGGCAGTGAAAGTCCGTGTGTGGAGATAGCGAATGTACTCATTGTGAGCCATCTTCAGCTCGGTCAAGCTGGGCAGCCCCTTGAAAGCCCCCGGGGTGATGAAGGAGATATTGTTGTGGTTGAGCGACAGGGATTTGAGGGAAGGCAAGCTCCCGAAGGCCCTCTCGGAGAGGAACTTGATGCTGTTTTTGTCCAGGTTGATAGAGGAGGCTTCGCAAGGGAACTCGCTGGGGATCTGGCCCAGACCGGCACGATCGCAGAGGACGGAGCAGCTCCGCTCCTGGGTGCACACGCAGTTGGCAGGGCAGGACCGCACGCAGGCCCACACCGCGTGGACGTGGGGGACCCAAAGGATCACTGTCAGAGAGGAACACGCCGTCCTCACCGAGGCGTGGGAGGAGAGAATCGGGATGCATCGTTAGCAAATATAGTAGTGATGACAGGAAAAAGAAATTACGCTGTCTTCGCCTCCCTTCTAGCCAGGCTACTTGCCAACTGCTATTTGTACGCCAGTGCTGACTGAGGGGCTCTCGTGAAAGATTCCTAAAAACCTTCTGCTGGGGTTTTTTAAATCCTCTGAGAAGGGGTGTGTGTGTATATGCGCAAAAAATCTAGAATGTCATCTCTGATTAATTTCTCACCTGGACTTAAGTGTTCTTACACAGTCAGTGTGATTGGTCTCTCTGCAAGCTGCCAGGGACGTGGTTTGGCAGCGGGGGTGGGGGGGAGGCAGAGATGCTGTGAATGCCAGCAGCTGTGGATAGGTTGCAGTATTGCTGGGTGGGGAAGAG